AAATATTTTATTAATTCTCGTGACTGTTCTCTAAACCGCCTTCAGTGGATCAACATCCATCTTTAACCATGGACACCAGCATGGGACACACCATTCCAACCGTGGTCATGCCAGTTGCAAATATAGATGTAAAATAACTACTTTACCTCTCCATGAGATTTCCCCGGTTGTGATCCTAGGATCTCCTTTAGCCACAGGGTCACACTGGGAAAATCTCAATATTTATTTCTTCATGCTCACAAATCTTTTTCACAGTTCTTGTGCTTCCCATGGTAGTCCCTCCCCCCCATCCTGTAAGCATCACCTACTTCTTTGATCCTAGTTGTAGATATCTACTTAGCTACATCAGAACACACAATTGTTTGCACTCGGTGTACCAACCAATCCAGATTCTCTTGATTCGGTGACTGTTTTGCATTGTTTAAGAACATTCAATGTGTGTGTCATCTGAACATTTCAGCAGTGGGAATGCTATGTTGATGACATGTATCTCTGCTTGCACTTATCAGTTACACCTATATCTCATGTCTCAGACAAAGCTGGGTGCCTGCAAGAAAGTGTCTCATCGAAAGAAACGTGGGAAGTAACAGAGGGGCAGGCCTGTAGCCCTAAATACTAAGACCCTTGTGCTCTGCATGCCTGTTCCATTGAGCACTGAGCCATAGAGTATCATGAAGATGTCTCTCTCCATAAGGTAAACTTGGCACATTTCCAACATAGGTGTTGCATCGTAGATCAGACCTATGATCCATCTAGTCCCATGTCCTCTCTCAGACAGTGACAGCCCCAGGTGCTGCAGAAGATGATGTAAAGCAAAACAGGAGTAGATGAATGGGAGTGGATTTGTCCGCTATGAGGGTCCATTATAACAGCTAGGGTGTGTCTACACAGCACCTTAAGGGGTGCCTAAACTACATGGCTCCGTCGACGGAACCATGTAAATTAGTGTATTCGGCATAGTCAAAGAAGCAGGGATTTAAATAATCCCTGCTTCATTAAAATCGGCAAAGGCTTCCCCAGGCAACAGATCCGCGGCTAGACTGCCGTGCTGTGTCGGATCAACTGATCATTGGCACAGCGTGGCGGCCATGTTTATTTTGATGTAGCGGGGATTATTTGAATCCCCACTTCTTTGACTATGCCAAATACACTAATTTACATGGCTCCGTTCACGGAGCCACGTAGTCTAGACACACCCTAAAATATGCAATTTGCGCGACGAAAATGGCGTATCTTATTTTGTATCTACTTCAAAATATCTTATTTTGAAATTTGGCGCAGCTATACAGTGCCAGATTTTGAAATAACACACTATTTGGAGCCATTCCTTACCCCTCGTGCAACAAGGTTTACCGGAATGGTGAAATAATGCGGCTGTTATTTCAAAAAATATTTCAAAATTACAGGCGGCTTGTGTGTCTACCTCGGATATCCCAAAATACCTGTGCAGTGCAGATGTACCCCTAGATATTGGTTTCTGCCCTGAAAATATGTTCTCGAAAATATGTATTTAGCTGTAACTATTGTAACTGGACAATCACACTATCCATGTCAATTTCCAACCCCTTCCTGATTCTTATTTTGTGAATGGCCACAAGTACGTATTGTGGCAATGAGTTCCTCAGGCTCATTGGACAGTGAGTGACCAAACCATTATTCTTCTTCTGTTTTCAACTTTCCACATTAAATTTAAATTTCCCCTTAATCTTATATTATGAGACATTCTCTGACTTCAGTATTTTATAGACTTTTGCTGTATCTCCTCTCATTCATTCATCTCTTTTGGAAGGTAACAATCCCTGCCTTTTTAACTTCTCTCGTTAATGTTACCTTATTTTCACTAAAGATCAACCCAGGGTTACACTTACGTTGCTTTTATTAAATGCCACTGTTGAATTAAATAGAAACGGAATTGAACGTGATCACACACATACATCTATCTATACACTCATATACAAACAAACAAACCAACCCTGTCTTGCTTTTGCTTAAAGTTACCGGTCTTTTGCTCATGTTAACTCACTGCCAGGTGAGTTAAATGTGAGGGGGAAGAGTGGGGATTCATTCTTCCATGCAAGACATTTCATGGAAGTCATTCTTCTTTGCCAACTGGCATCAGTATGTTGGTGCCTCCTTCCCAGTGTTATTTCAAATCTGTCTTGTTTGTAAAAGGGCGCTTGCTTTTAACACCCCAAAGCTGTCAAGATGTCCTCCATCGGTCTCCTTTGTTTTGGGCCTCAATTTATGGTACCTCGACACCTCTTTTCCAAATACAAGCAGTCCCCGGGTTACATGGATCCGACTTACATCGGATCCCTACTTACAAAAGGGGTGAGGCAACCCCGCACTAGCTGCTTCCCCCCACCAGACCAGGGAGATGCAAAGCTAGCGCCCCCCTCCCCCCCCAGCAGACCAGGGAGATGTAGAGCGGCTTTTCTCAGCAGACACCTCAGCTTGAGAATAAAGGACTGAGGGAAGTGAGGTGTGGGAGAATAAAACTGAGCTCTGGAGAAATGTTTGGCTAGAGTTTCCCCTACAATATGTACCAGTTCCGACTTACATACAAATTCAACTTAAGAACAAACCTACAGTCCCTATCTTGCATGTAACCCGGGGACTGCCTGTACTCACATTCCAAACTCCTTTACTCCTCTTCCCCGGGAACTACACAGTCATTGCACACATGGGAAAAGAAATACAATTGTCCATACAAAAGGTATCAATCTATTTCTATACAAAGAATCAGTCTCCATATTTTCTTTATAACGCAATCTATATTCTAATTACTTCTAAGAGCAACAGTGTGATCATGCTGAATCACAAGGATCCTTCTGGTCTCTTTCTCACATAATGGAATATTACAGAGCTCAAAAGGTTACAAAAGTTACATTCACATTATACTGAAATTGACATTGATGTTATACTGTATTGGGCGGAGGCTTTGTACAGCACTTCTGATGGTTTCTGCTTATCTTTGATCATTCTCATTGCCCTTGCCCGAATACCCTTATTTCTGCCAGCATCCTGTGTGAGAAGGGTGCCCCATACTATGCAGAGGAGTCTGGAGAAATGTGAAACATTGCCTGATCTCATGGCACTATATTTTATGTATGATTCTGCATCCCACTCCTCTGTAATTCCAATGTTTCGCTCAGATTGTGTCCATTCTTGTGCTGTGAGCCGGGTTTCCCAGAGCTGCGTCCCGTGATGCCCCAGGCCCCATCCTGAATTCATGCAGTAAAATTAGAACCTTGTTCGGTGTTTAAGGGTTCAAGCTTTTCCCTTCAAAGGGCAGACACATCACAGTTATTGACATTGGAACTTCATCTGCTGTCATGATGCCCATTCATCTGGCTTCATTGGCTCCTTCTGAAAACTTCGCTGAACTTGACTTTGACCTTAATATAACCCCTTTTTTCTTCCCTGGGTTACTCGGGAGCAGGTCACACTCACAACATGGTTTTAACATAAAAGGTTTTAACATAAAAGGAGATCCTGAGATGATATTTAGTTGGGGATTACTTATCCACCCCCTGGATGCAGTCCCTTATAGAATCATAGAATAATAGGACTGGAAGGGACCTCGAGAGGTCATCGAGTCCAGCCCCCCGCCCTCAAGGCAGGACCAAGCTCTGTCTATACCATCCCTGACAGATGTCTATCTAACCTGTTCTTATCTCCAGAGAGGGAGATTCCACCACCTCCCTTGGCAATTTATTCCAATATTTGACCACCCTGACAGTTAGGAATTTTTTCCTAATGTCCAATCTAAACCTCCCTTGCTGCACTTTAAGCCCATTACTCCTTGTCCTGTCCTCAGAAACCAAGAGGAACAAATTTTCTCCTTCCTCCTTGTGACACCCTTTTAGCTATTTGAAAACCTTGATCATAAAGAATATAGAATGGTGGTGCCTCCATCTGGCTGGCCCTGCACACACTTAATGATGTGCCTTCGGAGCCTCCAGGAATAAAATTGTTCCATCAATAATGTGGATTTAACTCCAGAACAATAATTACAAATGATAAATAATACACATCAAATAGATTACATTAGAAAGAACACACCTTTTCTTAGCAACTTAAAGAAACTGGGTTTAAACAGATTAACAGTGAATATCATTAACAAAGTACACTGAAATAATAGGAACGTATCTCTCTGGCATTTGCACTGCCACCATCTATCCCACCCCAGAGTGTGCCCTCCTCTGGACTCAGAGTCCCAGACGCTTGTGTGGGTGCGCTTGAAGATCTGCAGCTGGAGTGGAGGTTCTCTGTAGGTTCCGTGTGTGAGTCCAAACTGTGCAGCCAGCTGCAAACTCCCTCTGCCACTGGAGCCGGTCCCACCAAATGCCAGCAGCTCTGGTTCATTGGGCTGGATACTCTGCCTCTCTTTGGCCCCAGAGTTAGTCTATATCTCTGAGGTCTGTCCCAGGCAGCGCTTTCCCAAAGAGCCCAGTTACTTACAGCCTCCTCTTGTGTGCTGGTTTTTGTGTAGTCCTCCTCAGCTGTAGGTGCAGCCAGTCTCTCCCCTCTAGGGCAATCAGCAGCCTGCTATATCCAAGCACCACAGACTTTCAGTCCCAGGCAGTAGCAGCAATACAACAGCTCCTGGGCTGGATATAAGGCTCTTCCACAGCAGTCTGGTTCCTCTCTCCCAAAATGGAGCACTCCAGACTGCTGAGACCCTCTCTCAACATGCCCGGGCCAGCCCTCTTTTCCTGGTTTCCTCAAGGGCTCATGGGAGTTGTAGTCTCCGGGGCTAGATTGCAGCACACAGGATCCTCCCAGAAAAAGTCAGAGGTACCTTTCATGAGGGGACTACATAAATAATCTGGTGCCATCTGTAAATGTTGCTAGGTTACTGATCACCCCCCTTCCTAGATAGTGTGGTTAATATTGTATAGTTACTGGCTATTAGTAAGAGTGTGATTGCCTCTCAATGTACTTTTCTCCTTTTACAGGCACCTTGACTATTTGCGAGCTGGATTGTCAACCACCTCATGGCAGCTTTCAACCTCACCCCATCTGGCTCTTCAACATTCACCCTAAATGGCATCCCTGGCCTGGAATCTGCCCACATCTTGATTTCCATCCCCTTCTGTATATGCTACATTATTGGCGTGCTGGGGAATTTCACAGTCCTGTTTGTGGTAGGCAAAGAGCAGACCCTGCACAAGCCAATGTACCTGCTCATGTGCATGCTGGCCCTCACAGACCTCGGCATGTCTACCTCTGTGGTGCCCAAAGAACTGTTTATATTTTGGTTCAGTTTGAAAGACATTACTCTGATTGGCTGCCTCACCCAGTCATTCTTCCTTCATTCGATATCTGTCATGTACTCTGCCATCCTCGTGATAATGGCCTTTGATCGCTACGTGGCCATATGTAACCCTCTGAGATACACCACCATCCTCACCAATGCACGCATCGCTATGCTAGGCCTGGTGGGTTTGATAAGAGCTGTTCTCTTAGTTCTGCCTCTGCCCCTGCTCCTGAGCAGGCTGCCGTTCTGCGCCGGCCACGTTATCCCCCACACGTACTGTGAGCACGTAGCTGTGGCAAAGATCTCCTGTGGAGACATCACAATCAACAGGATGTACGGCTTGGTGATAGCCGTTGTAGTCATCGGGTTAGACCTGACGCTCATTGCTCTGTCCTATGGTTTGATCATCAGGGCCATCCTCAGAATCTCCTCCAAGAAAGCCCACCTGAAAGCCCTCAACACCTGTACTGCCCACATCTGTGTCATGCTCATTTCTTATACTTCCAGTTTCTTCTCCATCCTGACACACCGGTTCGGTCAGGGCATCTCTCCCCACGTTCACATCATCTTGGCCAACTTCTATTTCCTCTTCCCTCCCATGCTCAACCCCATCATCTATGGGGTCAAAACCAAAGAGCTTCGAGAAAAAGTGTGGAAATACACCTGCAGAAGGTGATGGCCATGTACCACTGAGTTGAAACCTGTGTGACAAGAGGAGGAAAGGATATCTCCTGGTTAATCAAAGGAGCTCGATCCCAGTTTGGCTTAGCTCAGCATCGTGGAAGTTCACACTCTGAAGAATTCCTCGCACCTAAGGCCTTTTTAAACCATTGAGGCACTTTGCTCTCTTTGTTGCTGAGTTTATTCTGTCATTTTTTGACTACAGGCTCTACCAAAAAAGCCCCTGCTGTCGGCAGAAACGTGGCAGAACCACGGCTACACTTTACTTTCACTTTCGACACTGAACCTGATCAGCACAGCGATGGAACGTGACTATGAAAATGAAGCCCGGGATATTTAAATCCCAGGCTCATTGGCACGTCCGAAGTGCTTGATTTGCATCCCTCTGTTGGCAGAGGGATGCAGTCTAGACACAGCCTCTGACTAGTCTAAACAGGGTTGATCAGTTTGATGAACTGAAGCTTGACTTTTCAGAAGCCAAAGAGAACCAGTGAACTATAACACTGAACTTCTGTATCATATATGCAAACATCCTGCGAGTAAATTTTACTTGATTTTTCTATGAATTCTGGAGGACAAAAAAAAAAAAAAGATTCAGCTGGGAAGAGCTAATATAGGAAAGGTGCTTCAGGAATGGAGTCTATTGTACTAAAATTTATGGGTGAGAGATTTGGATCGGTGTGTTTTGGGGAACTTATCCTGGATTTGATGGGTGTATAAGCCAGATTCCAATAAGGCCAATTGAAACCATATGATAGGCACTCAGACACCATAAATTAATCAAATAGATCACAATGAAGGGTAAATTGGAAAGCAGTCTTTTAGATGCAAGGAAAAAATCTAATCCAAATGAAAGGAACGGATGCACCAGTAAATGAGAATGAAAGAAGACAAGTGGATGAAAACTACGAGTCAAGACACCTCTAATATTGAACATTTCTTGAAAGTTGGGAAAAGTGTTCTTCCACTTGGGGACCCTATGAAGATGGTTTTCTAAGAGTTGGGCGGAAGCAGTTACTCTCCCAGACAAAAGGAGAAATGACCTCACTGCAGGCATCTCCCGGAAGGTGCCTTCACATTGCCATACCCCAGAAGGAGACCTAGGGACAGTCACAGAGAAGTGGTAAGAAGAGGCCCAGAGAGGGCAACCTTACTGAGGTGGCAAGTAAATAGGCCAAAACTAAACCTCCCCTGTGGTGCATCCATTGATCTACCAGCCAAGCTAAACCTCCCCATGCAGTGCAGCTACTGACCCACCATCTTTGGCAGTGGGGACACCTGGGCCATGTTGACCACCCTAGCGCTCTGCCTCTTGACCACCTCCCACTTTTCCCCCATGGCCCTGCCCATGCTCCACCTCTTCATGAGCCTGCTCTGTCCTTCATGGAGTCATCTGCTGCTTCTCATAGAGTCCCTCCTCTCTTTGCTCAAGAGGCACCTTCACCATCTGAGTCCCCCACTTCCTCTGTAACCCCATGAGCCCTTCACCAACCATGGCATTTAATGAGTACAACCACCGTCCTCTCGCCCACCCGCATTCCCCTCTGGATCCCTGGATCTCCTCTTCCCCTAAAACCTCCTTCCCTAGGTGGTCCTACCCCCCCGTCCTCCACCAGCCCCATGTTCCAGCCTCCTTAGCTGAGCTGCTCCAGCACCTGCAGGCTCAGCAGTAAGAGGGGTCCCACAGCTCAGCCAAGTAGAGCAGCCAGACTGCAACCAAAGAGCAGAGGTCTGCCAACGCCGTAGGTGATCAAGTGTTGCAAAGGGCAAGGAAGGCAAGGAAGTGACCTAGGGACACTCGCATAAAACAAGGTGGGCTTTGGTCTCCCTCATTTCCTTTGAAATATCACAAGGCATTCTCGTTGTTTGAGTACGGCAAGCCGGCAGAGGCAATTTTCTGCTTTCCTTGCAACCCATTTTCCTGTAGTCAGAGAGACCCTCAATCACCAAAAATGGAGAAAGGGGCTAGAAAAATATTGGAATGAAAGCACCGGAATCATTTCCTGTCTGCCGCATGCCCGCAGGTTTCCGACAGGTGGTGTTTTTTCAAACAGTCAAAAGAAGGGAGTTCTGTGCTGGCACCATGGATGGTGGATGAAGGTAGCCTTGCAACCCATTTTCCTGTAGTCAGAGAGACCCTCAATCACCAAAAATGGAGAAAGGGGCTAGAAAAATATTGGAATGAAAGCACCGGAATCATTTCCTGTCTGCCGCATGCCCGCAGGTTTCCGACAGGTGGTGTTTTTTCAAACAGTCAAAAGAAGGGAGTTCTGTGCTGGCACCATGGATGGTGGATGAAGGTAGCTTCCGTCTTCGCCCCACCCCCTCTGCCCAGCCCCACCCCCAACACCCCGGGACAGTGTAGCGGTGCACGGCCCCAGCCTCCCCAGCCCCAGAATGCCAGGGATGGTGGTCGGCATGAAGTCCCAGCCTTCCTGGCCCCGGAGCACAAGGAGGGCTGGCACTCAGGGGCAGCAACACTTTGCCTCAAGTAAGCCTAGAGTAGGCGTTCTAGGGGCAGCATGTGGGCAGGGCCATGCCTGGTGGTTTTGGAAGGCAATGCCTTCCCTCGCTTAGGATACCAACCACCCCTGAGTGGTACAGTTGTCACTTCCTCACCAGATGACGTTACATGAAAACAGAGACCATGCTGCAAGAATCACTGATGTGCTGCTTTAGCTGGCCACATAGGCCGTGTCCACACTCAGGGGTTCTTTCGAAAAAAGTACCCTTTTTTCGAAAGAACTTCCCCTGCATCCAGACTCAAGCCGCGTTCTTTCGAAATTATTTCGAAAGAACGCGGCTTTTCTTTCGATGGCGGTAAACCTCGTTTCACGAGGAAGAACGCCTTCCTTCGAAAGTTCCTCTTTCGAAGGAAGGCGTTCTTCAATGTAAAGAGGCCGTCTTCGAAAGAGAGCATCCAGACTCGCTGGGTGCTCTCTTTCGAAAAAGCGGATTTCCTCTATCGAAAGATCCGCCTGCTGTCTAGACGCGATCTTTCGAAAGAAGCCTGCAGTCTAGACACACCCATAGGGAAATGCATTGTAGGGGAAGGATGAGAAAGAAAGCCATGGAAACTTTCTGGAGTTACACAATGTCTTTTCACAGGACGACGAAGCATTCCCATGGAAAGTGAGGCGTTCTTTCCATCTCCTAGGCCGCTTGACTAAAAACCAGTATTTTCAAATGGCGATGGGTATTGTGAAAACAACAATCAGCCAGAACGTTCAGAAGAAGAGGGGTTATTTTTGCTATTAGGACAGTTGGGAGATGCCAGATATAGATTCAACTTAATACCTCACAACGGGACACAGAAAAATACGTTTGAGGCCAGAATCCTGGGTGAAGAAATCTTTTTCCAACCCCTCCAGCTTGAATCAATGCAGGAACAAGTCCTTTGGCCTCCACATTTCAGCCATGACTTTTCAGAGGACAGCACCGGATATGACAATTGCACAGGTGGTATATAGCAGTATGAAGCTACAATTGATGGCAAATGGGTTTGGGTCCTGTCTCCTATGGCAACCTTCCCACTTGTAGTGCAGATGGTAGTAACTGCACTCAGAAAAGAAAGCCATTGTCTTTCCCTGTGCTGTGCAGTCTGCAAAACTTTATTTGCCCTGACAGTGTGAGCCTCTAGTAGTGGCTAATCGTTTCTTCATTCCCAAGGCAGGCTCTCAGGCAGATATTTTCCAGGGACTCTTTTCTGTTTCCCCACTCCCCCCTGGAGCAAAGGGAATTCACCAAGAGCCCTGGGCAATTTGAGAATCCACAGGGATGGTTCAGGGGAATAACAAAAGTCACTCTCCTGCAGGGCGAGTGTCTGACGTGTGAGACCCATACACTGATTCTTGGGGCTGTGGTTCCTGGAGCAGGAAGGTGATGTCCACTCTCTGACTAATGGATTTTGGTGAGTTGCTTGTTTCCACACTAATGTCAGTTCTCAGGGCTCAGGAACTTGAACTGTTTAGCATTTCCAGAAACACGAGAGAGAGAGAGAGAGAGAGAGAGACAGCATGAATTATCCAAATCAAAGTGATGCAAAGTCCTGAAACTGGTCAAAATAGAGAATAGACGACATGCCTAATGTCCAGATCAAAAAGGTGTCACAAGTCCTGATGGGGCAGAGGGTATCTCAGGGTAACGTAACATGGACTGCTCTGTAGCGCATTGCCTCTGACACCAGCCACCATCTCTGTGAACCAGCCTACGACAGCCTGATTGCTTTTCTGATTCGTTAATTGCCAGCCTCGGAGATGTGTGTCAGGGTTTCCCACAGGATGCCACACATTAAAGGTTGGTCTCGCTTTGAGGAAGAGTTCTTCACACTGGCTCTTTTCAATCACCGCGTCCTCTCTCTCTCCCACCAAGCCAGTCCCTCATTCTGTCCCTGCCCGGGCTGGGCTGCTGCTGGGGCTCCCTTCACCCCCAGAAAATCAGGTCAGGCTGATCCCCCCCTTTTCCCCATTGCTGTCAGACACTGAATTTAACCTGGTCTGAGGAGGTATTTCTGTGGCTCTTGCTATGGAGTCTGGGTCCTTTTTTTCATCCTGGATGCGGGGCAGGAGTGGGGGTTTTGAGAGCTGGGGACATACAGATAGTGATGAAGATTATGGGGCAACCAGGGTGCGTACACGGAAGTGGGAAGTGCTGGGGATTGTGGGCACAGGGAGCTAGGTGTAAACAGAAAGGTGGGCAGAGCTGCTGAAGTCCTCCCGAGATGATCTCAGAGCACGAGATGTGCTGAGCAACAAGAATGCCCATTGGGTCTGTAATGCCTTTTCCGAGAAGGCCAGTGCAAGGTTTATGGAAGTGATGTGGCCTACAGGACTGGGAGATGTCGATGGTGCTTGGTCCTGCCATGAAGGCAGGGGACTGGACTTGACCTCTCAAGATCCCTTCCAGTTCTAGTATTGCATGAACATATTTGTTGGCATTTTACATAGATCTTATCTCCTCCATCTCCATATATGTGTTGGCATTTTACATAGATCT